AAAGCAACTTAGAATTATCATAGCTCGTATTATTACGTAATTTGATAGAGTAACGAGAGTTGCACGTTCGCTGAGTGATACTAAAGTGGTTTTTATTTGCAAGCAGCAAATATTTGAAGAAGCTTTGTTCTGTTTTTTTTCTTTCTTAATGATATTTTTTGAGAATCTGGGAGATTTATCAAGCATCCTGGTAGCTGGGAGAATCTCAGCGAATTGGGGAAAGTTGGCAAGCCTAATTATACTCAATTTGACCAAATCCTCGCATTCGCTTGACTACTTTTTCTTTTAGTTTTAGTATTACTAATACTATATAATACTAGAGCTACAGTAGTTTGTCTGATGTGAACTACAGACTACTGTACAAATGATAAGATTTTTAAGACTTGGTGCAGCGAAAAACTTGGCCTTGATGATATGGCCACGCCTCTTTTTAATTACTGATTTGACAACTGACTACTTTTATGCTTTTTGTTATAGTTAATATGAATCGTAGGTACAGTGCACGAGGGTAATGGATCACAAAGACAACAAGTATAGCATGTACCTTTTGTGTGTTCATCATATACTCTGCCAGTTACTTCTGTTTTCACGCTTCCTGGTATCCAATTGAAAATCTGAAAATTGTGTTGAAATCAGCTCAATTAATATAGTTAAACTGGTTACTAATAATTACTATTGTGCTTTATGTTCTTTTTCGATTATATACGTTTCATAAATTGGAAGCTTTGGATAAACAAATCAAGTGTGATACTGGTACAACTGTGGAAATACATGTATTAAAGATTCAAGCAGAATTCATGGCTGATGAACGGAATACTTTGTTGGAAGTTAACTTGCTGAAAATGAAGAAACAAAAAATTTATGATGTAATAATAAGTGCAATTTTTTAGAATTTCAAACTACTCAGCTTGCTAATGAAAATAAATTTGCCATATGTTCAAACTATGTTCTCGATTGTTTTAACATGGATCAGAAATTATGTATGCAATATAAAATACTCATTTCAGGCTTCCCTTTACGAACTTTGTAAGTTGTTGGAGGGAAAGAGCCCCAAAGCTCCTAAGTTTAAGCATTTTGTATGAGCAAAAACACACACACACACATATATATACAAGCAAAAGTACCTGTCCCCAGTGATGGGAAAAGTTTAAATTAATCTATCAATATAAATTATATCATGGACTTTAAAAATGTTAATTGTGTTGCACTCTTGGTTTCACTCAGAGCCAAAGCTCTGAGCTACTTATACTGCCCACCATAAAAAGTAATTGTTGAGCATTTCAGTCATGCTAAGAGCTGCTCAACAACAACATACGGTAAATCTACATTTTTATTGTTTAAGTTACATCACATGTTGAAATGTGAATGATACTGTGATTAATTCCTAACAATTTAGTGTAGAATACCATGCTTGCAAAATATAATTTGGCATCAACATTATTCATGCCTGTTCTCCCGTCATTTCAAATGTGAATGTTGAGCTTTGCTTGTGTATACAGCTTTTCAAATGCAGTGCAGGAAGCAGCTGCTGTAAATGGGAGACAGACGATTGCTCAGACAGACATCATGGTTCACGATATACTGTATTTTTGGTGTATAAGATGCACTTTTACCCCAA